TTGTCGATCTTGTTTCCAGTTTCAAATGATTTCATGGCCATCAAATAGCCATAAAAAGAATATTGTTTCCGCTTTTCATAATTTATTTTATAAAAAAATTCACGATAAATCAGTATTCTTTTCTATGGATTTTGCATTTCTTTTATTTTCATCTAAATACAACATTTTTATTTGTGTTTTTATCATCAACAAATCAAAGATGGCGCCTTCTCGATCCTAGTCCCAAGCTCCCGACCGTTCCCCCATAACTGATGACGTCATCAACAATTATCTTATTTTGCGTGACTGTGCAATATCTACAATCTGTGTAATCATTGTGTAAATTTTCGTATTCTTCATGTAATCAGAGTTTCTTTTGTATTTCAATAGATATATCTGCAAATTAATTTGAAGACAGCGATAATTTCTGTTGTTTCAAGAACATCAACAACATCAACATGATAAGGATGTCACTCATGTGATCGAACATATTCTTTGTTATAAAATGAAAGGAAAGACCAAAGATAACTTTCGCATCGTTAATTTCTGCCCAAAGTACACAAATCCCGCTTCAGAAAAAAATTGCAACAACAGATTTTTGGTACTGCTACATTCCAGAACAATTTAAAAGCAAATTTTAAAGGGTTAAATTTTATTGTTTGGCAGTCCGTAGCCAATAGCATTGTTTTAAAGGTACTTTTAAGTTTTAAATTGACTTGCTCTATAAATTACTCTGCAACTCTTGTCCGCCACCGTCTTAATAGAAGGGTCTTGTAGCAAAATTTGATATTATCCAGAAGAAAGGTTTAGTACGAAGTTCCTTCCGAAAGCCATTGTTTTAGAATATATTAATTAATAATTTTACATAAAATTTGTATGTAAATACTTTCCACAACCTGTAAACTTAGGGTCGGTAGGTAGCCTGACGTAAGTCAGCAAGGATTTAAAGAATTTTCAAAACAATTGAGTATTTTTTGCTCATGAATAACATTAATAAAGCATCTTGAATTCATGAGCTGTACAGAGTGCAACATGTAAACATCTTTCATATAAGAAGATGCTATAGACGACGTTCACATTGCCAATGACTGAGGTAGTGTGAATGACGTTAATGTGATCGATCATATTACATCACGATGAAAACAATTTTGCCTTCTGATGAGCTCTAATTCGTTCTAATTTGCACACAACTTCGAAATCGAATTTGGAAGACAAAGAAAAGAACACAAAACAATTTATATGGTAATGAATAGGTGTTTGTGATGTGTGCTGTTGTTATCCGGCCATGTCAAATAGCCAAAATACTTTGAAAACAACAGTCCTTAATGTATATAGCAGAGTCATATAGAAGGGTGTAGTTGTTATTCGAAAGTCATAGATACGCTTGAAGAGCGTGGGGCTCTTCTCGTACTCAATGGGTGAAAGGTGAGAAGATATCGCTTCAGAAACTACTTAAATAATTAGGTTAAAAAAGCGAAAACATTTGTTGAACGAAGGAACTTTAAATGGCAAGAGTGCTCTTGAACAACACCATTGTTGGCTTTCTTCTACTTCTCGTTTTTGCCAACGTGAACGCAGAAAATGACGATTTACAACTGATTCTTCTCTATCGCGATGTCATCGACGCGAAGTTGGCTACGGCACCTTGTCAACATGACCAACCTCTTACATGATGAGGACATCATACAAGATTATTCTTTCTGGAACAAAGACATTGAAACCGTGCGAAATGTTGCCAGTTACCTCATGTCAATGTGGCCATTTAAAGACTCGCAGAATCGATCTTTGGTCGAAAGTGTACAAGCAATCTATACACTTGTAAAGACGATAACATTATCATCGGATCAGATATTTGGCTCTGCAATTTGTTTCGACAAGAGTATGTTCCAAGGGAGACGACAATTTTGTCCGTACGCCTTTAAGAATTATACCCCTGGTACAAACGCGAGTTACAAAACAATTATTAGCGATTGGGGAAGACTGTACGACTATCTATCTCCTCCAAATCCGAACAGAAAATTCTCAGGTGAAGATAACTTTACCTGGTGGCGAATTAGTGAGGAATATCGCCGAAACATCACGCTTCCATACAACACAGTTTTTACGACGTCGATTTACATCGACGTTTACGAAATGTGATTAATGAAAATGACACAAATTACGGAGACACTTCGATACTACAACAAATTACGTGCCTGACAAGTTGGGAAAATGGACTACGCCATATTACGACTGTCATGGGGGTAGAATATGGATGTTCACTTACTTAACACCATTTTACGACGAAGCAGGGAAGTTCCTGTAAGTATTAACGTATTTTGAAGTGTTAAATTGAGTTGAATTGAAAGTTAACCCTCGTGTTTTAATAATAATTAGGCAGACTATAAAATTCGGGTACTTTCAGCGTTTAAAACTAAATGTCAGCAAAGCTATGCACAGCTTTCGTGTGAGTCGGTGAAAGCGAGTTGGACCAGTAAATAATTAGGATAGAAATATCAAGCGCGACTTTCGTTATTTCAAGTGTCTGCAAGCGCGACACACGGCTTGTAAACAAAACACTTATAGATTGACTTCGAACATTAGTCGTTGGGTTTTGGATTTGTTTTTATCGTCTGTTTCGCAGTCAGTCTTTGCAGGCGGTCGAGTGTTGATTGTGTCTAGACAAATTTAGCGTTTCAAAACAAAGATTACGTAGGACTATTTACTGTTAAAAAGCATTTTAAATTGCAAATGGAAGGTCCTAGTAAGTTTCCTCGATTACCTGACAACCTTCTTCTGCGAGAATTAGAATCAGCGGTCTAACAAATTGCAAAAGTTTTCGTCTTCGATTCCGAAATTCGCTTTTGTCTATTATCGATTCTCTAATGTGCTTTCATTTCGGCAAATTCCATCGGCCAATATCAAAGATATTTTTTTTATTACTAATGTGAATTGTAGCTTTTCGCAGGTCCAAGCTCGAGGTCAAAAAAGCAATTGACGTTTTGCTTTTTTATGGGGGGAACATGTGCTTGACTGGATATGTTTTAGAGCTCGATAGATCGACGCTACAACTAATTCAACCTTTGTTTCTAGAATTGTATGATATTGCTGTTGTTTTGATAATGAAAATTAAAGCATCTTGTTTTGAAAGGTGCTGAATTCATGTGGCTCAATATCGCGCGCTTATCAATTTGCAACTACATTTTTCGTTGTTGACAATTACGGGTATTAATTACAAGCGAGAATGTTTAGTGTAAGTGAACGTTTTTATCTTATTACCCGCCATGTACAAGTAAGGCCGCTGAAGCATTTCGCTTGTGTTGTGCTCATTGGAAATAATTACTTTGTTTTCTGCGCACTGCGCAGGTGGTGAGTGTGACAATGCAGAAATTACTGATAGCTTAATTTTGAATAGAAAATAAAAGTATATAAATTATCAGAGAATAAGTGTAACAACAGCACCAAATAAGGAGCAACGCAACAATACAGAGACGAAAGAATCTTGAGTGTTGATTTGAGAGCAGCGAACGGGCCCCGACTTGTAGTGTGTGTCGTATATCAAATTACACAGAAAAACAAACGCAGATGGTAATACAAAGCTGTAAATTGGTTAAACACACAGAGGAAATGAATAAAATTCACAAAAACCGTCAGAAAAGCTTAACTCGCGATTTATGTTGTCGTTGTTTGGTGATGGAAATTGTTGAGGTTATCGTTGTTTTTTTAACTCCTTAACGTGCTGTGCGTGTTTTTTGTTCAATACAAGTATGAACTAGAGAGTAAACTGACCAGTGAGATTGTTTTCCTTGCGTTCGTCTCCTGATGAAAACCTTCATGTAAAAGCACTGTCTACAGAATTTTGCTCGAGAAAACTACCCAGTTTACAGCTTTGGTGTTTGGGAGGGGAGGGGAAGGGAGTCGCCACCATTTTAACTTGATGTTTCCTCGTGTAGTGGAATTGTCACCTTCCACGTCAATCTCGACTCCATTGACATCAACGAATGCGAAGCACCACCAGACATTCAGATTGATCGACGACGTAATCGGAAACACAAAGTACAATTTTATGGCAATCATGCTTGTCATAACAAAACGACTAAGGTGAGCAAGGTTATATCATTAGTGGGACGGATATATACTGCCATTCGTTTAAGAGCAATAAGAAAGGCAATGTCACTGTTTCACATAATAAAAAATTCATGTGATCTCTGTTTCATGTGATCTCTGTTCTTCATTACTCGTCATGTGATCACTGTTCTCCAGCACTTGTCATGTGATCACCGTACTCCAGAACTTGTCATGTGATCTCTGTTCTTCAATTACTCGTCATGTGATCACTGTTCTCCAGCACTCGTCATGTGATCACCGTACTCCAGAACTTGTCATGTGATCTCTGTTCTTCATTACTCGTCATGTGATCACTGTTCTCCAGCACTCGTCATGTGATCACAGTGCGCCTGTACTGGCCTTGTGATAAATGTGCTCCATACTAGCTTATAACAATTCTCGGTCGTCAATCATGCCTCCATTTTTGTAGACAGTCAAACATTGTCGTCAAACTTACTTTTCAAAATAACCTTTGTGTTTACGTTGTTCCTTTATAATTTCACCATCTATCTTTTGCATTTATCTGGATTGAGTCTTAGCCCCCGGCTTAGTGTCGTAATTTCAAGCAATTTTTTGCCCTTTTTCCTTCACGAAATTGTTACAGTAGAACAGTTCTTTTTACGTCTGTCTTGTCGTTTTTCAGTGTGTCCATTTGCCCGGTGGTGGCTTCAAAATGGGCAACTACCGCTGTGTATGTCGGGAAGGATATTATTTTCCACGGCTAGACGCAAAGAAGAAATACTTCGATGGGAAAGATGTGAGCAAGGCGAATGGTGACAACTCAAAATTTAATTGTCTTCCATGTCGCGAGGGTTGCACAACTTGTGTTGATGATTCGCCTTGTTTGTACCAAGAACGTATGGTTATAAGAAAACTGATTTTGGTCGTGAATGGTATGACCCAATTTTTGGCTATCTCTGCTGGCTTGTTCATCTTCCTTCATCGTGAGACAAAGGTAATATGGTGTCTCTTAAAGTAAATGGTTTGAACCCGGGAGTATCGTTACATGTTTGTAAATGTAGATCGTCCAGGTTGGTATAGTCCAGAGAAGGACTGTTTTTGTTGTTGACTGACGTTTCGACAACTTTAGCCGTAGTCATCTTCTTTGACTCTGAAGATGACTACCGCTAAGGTTGTCGAAACGTCAGTCAACAACAACAAAAGCAGTCCTTCACAGGATTATACCAACCTGGACGATCTATATTTACAAACATGGTGTCTTTTGTTGAGGGTTTAACTGACATCAGTTTACTTTTAGAGACGAACTTTTAGGTAACGCTAAGCCCCTTTTGATGTGTTTGGAGTTTAGACAGAATATAAACAGGAAAACTCAACAGTCTCTAACTTCATGTTATTGATGTGCAGAACGTTTTCTAGTGGTTTTAACCTCCTAGTTTGAAAGCAGTTCTTAAAAGTCGTTACCTACAACGGGTTTATTTAGATATTGAAAGCGTCCAGTCCATTTTTCATGGTGATCATCGCCTTTGGTTTGACGCTTATGTACACAGAGGTATATACTGCTTTTTCTTATATATAGCATGTAGAGGACACTTATGTACACATAGGTACATGTTCCTTTCTCTTGCATAGAGTATGTAGAGGACACTTATGTACACATAGGTGCATGCTTGCTTTCTCTTACAATAGAGCATGTAGAGGATACTATGGGATTTTACATGCTTTGCTCATTATCGTCAACTACTTGTGTATCCATAGGTGACACTGGGCTTCTTTGATGAAACAATTTCACTTTGTATTGCAAGATCATGGCTTTATCATGTTGGTTTCACATTGGCTTTCGCTTCGTTACTTTTGAAAACTTGGAGGTAAGAGTTACCAGTCAATGTCCACAAACTGCATTCTTACGTTATTCGCTGAACGTACTCTACAGTTATCTTTCCAGTTCGTATCTTACCAAAAATACGGCAGTTACGTTTTGCTATGAACATATTTAGACGCTTTGCAGCGAAATAGCATCAACTTATGATGCACCACCAAATTTTTTTCACTCCAGCAAGAATCGATATGAATAACTTGCACTTCTACCGTGTCCTCGATTTATTGGAACTTGCTCATTGATTGTTCATTTCTAGGATTGCGGTCATATTCCGTCTGCGGACGGCAAAAACCATCGAACTTACAGATAAATCGTTACTGACCTACTTGTTGCTTATGTTATTGGCCGTCTGCTCTTATTTCGCTATCTGGACTTTAACACAAGATCACGAATATGAGACGATAAAGACAAATTCCGGTTACAAATACAGGCGCTGCGTCAAACCGTGGTTCACTAATGCCTTTGAAATCGGTAAGCCCTTTTATTATTTTGTATGTAAGCTTTCTTTACAACTGTTAGTTTTTACTCTCCTAAGACTATAGGCACGACCACAACTGATAATCTCCAGGTTAGTATAGTCCTGAGAAGGACTGTTTTTGTTGTTGTTGACTGACGTTTCGACAACCTTAGCGGTAGTCAGAGTCATCTTCAGAGTTTTTGATTGTGTTGTACGAAAGATCTAGTTTCACGAGTTGCCTGAAGAATAGTAAATGGTTTGAACCCGAGTATTGTTACATGCTTGTGGATGAAGATCGTCCAGGTTAGTAGACTCCTGAGAACTGTTGTTGTTGATGTTGACTCTTAAGATGACTACCGCTAAGGTTATCGAAACGTCAGTCAACAACAACAAAAACAGTCCTTCTCAGGACTATACCAACCTGGACGATCTACATTTACAAACATGTAACGATACTCGGGTTCAAACCATTTATTTTGATAATCTCCAGTTTATTTATGGTGAAACTTGTTATAATTTCCGATGTATTTTCTTACTCTCTGAAGAGACTAAAGTTTGTGTGCCTTTCTTCTTTCCTAGGCGAGGTTTTATTTCTGCTGTGGGTGTTTGGCTTTGTATCCGTGTACGAAATGCCCTCAGCGTACAACGAGAGCAAGTACATCGCCTGGTGTATATATAACACTCTGTTTGTTAAGATCGTAGTTGGTCTTCTGAGGTAAAGCAAAATGTTTGCATCGGTGTTACTGTCATTTTTCATGAAAGGTTGAATTGTTGGAATGTTATTAAATAAAAAGAATGATAGCATATGTTACAACCAACAAAATAACGACCTTATCTAACAGCATTTGAGAATTAACTTTTCATTTCTTAACGAGACAAGTCTACTCGAAAGCAGAAGGGCATAAAGGCTCTCTGCTTTTGAGTAGACTTGTCTCGTTTACAAGGAAGAGGAGTGGAAGTTAATTTCTCAAATGTTGTTAGATAAGGTCGTTATTGTTTGTAGTTTTTGGTTATAGCGTTAAAGGTTGAATTGTTTTGACAACATTCTCTTTATTTAGAATTGTTCTAGATAACTTTCACAATCCTGATGTCGCGTATGTCGTAAACAGTTTGTCAACGCATGTCATTGCCACCGTTATGTTGGTTTTGCTCTTTGCTTTCAAGGTAATGGTTGTATTGTCAACTTAGTATTAATTACTGCCGATGAAAGAGGATCTTAAAACCTCTCAAAAAGCAGAAATTTGTAATCTAGAGAGCTTCGGGTTTTTGTCCATACGTCTATCTACTGGACCTTTTCTTCGTTGAGTTGTGGCTTTCCATCATTGGACGAGTAAGCGTTTTACGATTGATTATGAAGTTTGTTATGATGCGATTGGCAATGAGCCCGAAAAGAAAATAGAACAAAAGCTTTTAAATCGATGGCCAAGGCCAACTTGAAGAGCTCTCGAAGATAAACACGTCAGATTATCCTCGATGCCTTATATTTTCTTCATTAAATTTTATTTTTCAAAACTTTAAATTGAAAATTGTCGTTGAAACACCATATGGTGAACAAATTAGCGTAAGCAAATGGCCAAATATGTCTTGGACGTTCGTTTCAAATATCAAAAGAGATTAGCCAAGGGTTACATTCTCTCATCGAAAGGAATCATGCAGCAGCAAAGATATTTATCTCTTTGTTATACTGTAGGTCACGCGAAGTCGTTTTTAATTAAATTATGAAATGTTTCAGGATACATTACGACACATATTGACTAATGTGGAAGTATGAATGTTATAAAACTGCACGACGCGTTTTTTCAAAGGACATTTCTCTGTTTCGAAGCATACTCAAGTATTCCAGTACATCACATTTAATGCTTAAGTCAGTCTGGGTACTTGCTGAGCTATAACTGCCCTTCGCAATATTAAATTTTTCCTGTCTGTTTTGAAGGTATACTTCTTGAAAAAATACAATGTAAATCAAAGAAGGCGTTCTCGGGTAGTTCGTCTATAGCCACAACGATGACGGATCTTCGTAAATCACCATTTCATCTCAACCGTTTGGAGGACGGTACTTTGGTGTGCGAAAACGATGAAGAGAAAACGCGAGGGTCTGGAAACTGAGAATATACAACTGAGGGTAAGAAGTTTTGGGAATACTGTTTGAGTACAGATTAAAACGAGGATTTTTCGAAGAATGTTCAAAGAAACAATGTCAACGGTTTTGTCTTAAATACAAAGAACGACTCTCCATTTGCAAAGTGGGTGGCCTAAGTTTGAGGATTAGGGGAGATTTGTCAGAGCATCGCAGAGTTGCTAAAGAACGAGTCGATCGTGAGATGCGCCAGGGTCTGACGGGAAGGTATGGGGGAAATGAGTTGAACTTTGGTCCCTGTGATGGTATTCACGTCCAATTACGGTCTTTCTCTTTCTCAAAACTTGAAAATTGAATGTGTGCTCCCTGTGACGGCACATAATGCATTAAGCCATTTATAGGCGCACGTCAAACAACGTGTAAAATATGGTTTTGTTAAACAACTGACAAAATCTCAACTCACGCAACACGCTAAAGTGATCATTATCACTTATAGTTGATTATTATCCTCAATTTAGAGATTATCATCTTCAATTTGTAGTAATTATCCTCAATTAAAACCATTGAAATTGTAGCAAAGAATCCGTTAACACTTATGAAATAAGCCGATTTGATGTTCAATTAATGACATTCCTATATTAAAATCATTATCCTTACACTTTTCACAGGAGGAAATACGTGATTTGACTGCGAAACTTGCAGCATGTGAATACAAACAACAACGAGAGCAGAGACGACAACAAGGAAGTCCACAAGAAAACAGCTACATTTCCACGAGTAGCGAGACTCGTCATTCCAGATTCAACAGCGAGACGGAGAGCGCTCAGGGTCGAGAGTCGGAATCTCCCGATAAAATTGGTCAAAAGGTGTCGAACGTTGCCGACAGCTTGACAAGCAACGGTAGCGTGTTCACACGCGAGGAAAGAGGTGGAAGTTTAATAGAAGATATTAAAAACGCTGATCGTTTTATCGCCCTACCAAACGGTAGTAGCGTTTCCGATGAAGAAACTTTAACGGTCATGTCAAACGTTTCTGTTGAATCCTCGTGATATTGAAAAGATTCTTGGAGGAATATGGCCGTGTGTTCTACTGAAGAGAATATTTATGGATCCTGTTTCAGGAAAGATGAGATTTGACAATGAACTGTGGTACAACTTGACTACCATGAAGATGTTTCCACATAAAGATTAACTCCTACGAGAAGACAGTTAATTATAAACGATCGAATCGACTTACTAAACCTTTCCCACAATAAATATTCAAACGCAAAAAACGACATGCATTTCGTTAAGAAAATGTGAAACATTTTATGCTAATCTTGCGTAATTTTATGACGTTTTTGGTCGCTAATGACGTAATTTGATCGCAGCAACACTCAAGTCTGTACTTATGCACATCACACAATGAGCATTGCAATAAATATTTTACATGAAGTACGCAGGGACATAAGCGAGGCTAATCGAAATCTTTACACCTGCATGGCAAATTTTTTAGCAAAATTATTCGGAATTATTTCGATTGTTTTTGCAGTTATGAACACAAAACTATTTGCATAGCAGGAAGAATGTCGATATTCCAAGCAATAACCATTTTATACAAAACGTTTACACAGCGCTATAGATTTTATTTAATTTAAATTAATGTCGTTCGTAAAAGCCAAAACATTAAATTTGTAATATAGAGAAAATAGATTTAATTAAGTGAAAAAAATAAAAAGTTTAATTGAAGCTGTACTTTTCTATCTTTGGATTTGAATTTTCTTATCTCTCCCCCGACATAACTAACGTACCTCAACATTTGCAAGGATTACCGCAGGACATAAAGTTTTCCCATAAATAGAGAAGAGAATCGGCATCCTGCTCGGGCAAGGTAAACATTTCCATCTGACAATCCCCGAAACACGACCATCGCTCATCCTGAAGTATTTGAAATAGAAAGGAAACACCGTCACATGTTCGGCCGCTGGTTCATAAGAACCTGGGCTCGTAAGAGTAAGATCACCATAAAGGATCTTGTTGAACAACCGTCACAAACTTGCAGAGAAGAAAAGGAGATCTTACCTTATAAATTTCAGGAGCAATAGCTGATAACCAAATACCCATAGAGACATCCTCCCCCTTTACACAAGAAAGAAAAACATGTGTCAATATCTAGTACTCTGAGAACTACATCTTTACACATCAAGAGGTCACTTTCAACATTGTAATCTCGTCGTGTTTTTCTATCATATACCTGATAACGTTTTAGAGATTTCTCGTTTTTTGCCAGCCAGTGAACAATATCCGAAGATATAATGCTGCCCGCACCGCAGGCAAATGTCGGATAAGCCACTCCTGGATAATCAGGCTCGGCCCATTTTCCCTGTCTCTCGATCAACCAATCAGTACGAAAGCTGTAAATATGAAGAAGCAATTGCATTTAGAAGCAATAACTACAACTCATATTTCATACCTTATTTATAGTTTAGTCGCATGGAAAACGCTAATTCGTATGTTTGCAATCTCGTTTCTGTTTTACTTGAAAAATATTATAAATTTGGCAATTCCTAATGCCCAAAACATGATATCTCAAAAGGATTTTCACTATGTCAATAAAATCTTTAGAATGGACTCAGTATAAAGTAGATGGTTTGAACCCGGAGTATCGTTACATGTTTGTAGATGTACATCGTCCAGGTTAGTAGAGTCCTGAGAAGTGTTGTTGCTGTTGGTGTTGACTAACATTTCGACAATCTTAGCAGTAGTATTTTGACTCGGAAGATGACTACCGCTAAGGTTGTCGAAACTTCAGTCAACATCAACACCAACAGTCCTTCTCAGGACTCTACTAACCTGGACGATCTACATCTACAAACACGTACACAGAATATTGTGTACTGACGGAGTTGAGCTAAACTCACCTTCCCACCACAATTTAGACGTGTTTTTTAAATTATGACTTTCCATTTCCTAAAAATATCAAATATTTCTTCAGTCGTGAAGTTCTTCGGTACACTATTAAAGATATAAAGCTTAATTAAAGACACCCTTACAAATCGCTTGATTGAGTAAAATCTTTAGATTGAGTCAAAAATCATCTGCGCAGCTTGTATACTTCCGGAGGTAATTAATGTTGAAATCGACTCTATACTGAGCATGCGCAATTTCTATTTCCTCGTGCTTTTATTGTAGAGACTCGGGACGAGGCTCATTCCAAAGCTCTCAATGAGAGGTCTGGGATGGTGTAAAATCATCTCCACAGCATGGTTTAAGAGTGGCGTAAGGGTGTTTTAAGGGTGGTTTAAGGGTAGAGTAAGGATGTTTTAAGGGTAGCGTAAAATGTTTTAAGGGAGTTTTAGGGTAGCTTCAGCGTGGTTTAAAGGTGGTCCAAGGCTTTAAGTTACGCTTCGCTACCCTAGACTACGGTTAAACCACCCTTAAACTACTTAAGCCCCTCTAAAACCACATCTAAACCATTTTAAAAACCACGCTTAAGCCACCAGATTGATATACTCCAAAATCCCAAGATACATCTACGTACTCCAAAATCCCAAGATACCTCTACATACTCCCAACTCCCAAGTTA